TTACTGCCTCAAATCCCTCCAGAAGCGCAGACCGGCTTCCAACAGTCATACAACTTTGCCTTCTCTTCTCTGACTGTTGGGGGCCAGGGTGTTCCACATGGGGGGCCGTCCAGTCAAGTTTTCTCCCAGGACGAATACATGGCTCCCATGAGGACACAGTCGCACACGGCCAGGCATCAACCCGCCCCCAACATTGGTGGTGGTAGAAGACCTCGGGCCCGTCCCCGCACTCAGCCGTCAGCCCAGCACATCCAACCTGAGCAGCCCGAGCCTGAACAAGGTGAGATTTTTAAATTAACAATTTCCTTTTTTTTTCTTTTTTTTACAATCCAATTTATGATTTCTTTTTATTAATTGAACTATTCAGATGAAGAAGATGAAATTGAGCAAGCTTTTCAAACTGACACAATTCTCACACCTCGACCTTCGTCTTCTGCTCAAATCGTATATACTCGGAGGACTTCCAGACCGCACAAGCCTACAAAACCATTCACTCCTTCCTAGTTAGTAGTGTTGAATTCGTGGAATTGTGTTTATTTTGGATTTTTGGATTGTTTGCATAAACCGAATATTTCGTTTTGTATATATTGTTTGTTCGACAAATTATTGTGTTTCATTTGTTTGTTTATATGATATGTTGGATTATTATTGGGCGAATATGTTGATATTAGTTGATCGAACAGGTGTATTTGGTTGTGAACAGGTATATTTAGGGTTTTGAGGCAAAATTAGGGCACCAAAAATCAATTTGGGGTAAAATTACATATAAAACGTATTTACGAAATACGGTTTACATTTCGAAATTTTTGTCCCGAGAAAAATTATTTTTAGGGATTGTAAAAATTATTTTTCTTTTATAAAACGTATTATGTAAATACGTTGTTTAATGAAAAACTTAAACACGTATTCACGTAATACGTTTTAATATTTTTAGATTGTAAAACGTATTTCGTTAATACGTTGTACAATAAAAAATATATATACACCTAATTTTAAATTGAAAACGTATTCACTTAATACGTTCTAATTTTTTTTCGGCATAAAACGTATTCTGCCAATACGGTTTACTTTGTTTTAGTTAAGTTAATTACGTTACTTAAGTTAACAAATTATTTTTTAGCGAAACGTATTACATGAATACGTTTTATTTTTAAAGACGTATTACCTGAATACGGTTTTTAATTGAAAACGTATTCTTGTAATACGTGCTTTTTATTGTGGTCGACAATATTTTTTTTTTTTTTTGTCCACTTTTTTTT